TATTTCATTAAGTTTTTCTCTGCCCAGCTCAGTGTTGCCCTTAAAGGTTTTGGTCTCAAGGGATGGATTAGCTGTTCATAGGCCATGGGTTTTGATGTTAGAGGTGGGTGAGCAAAGTGACTCCACTGGAGTGAAGGTGGTCCCTGGGCCCTGGGGACCCTCTTGCTGCTGGGCAGCAGCACGGAGCTGGAGCGTCCTGTTCCACCTGGGGACCCTGGTGGCCATGAAGACCTGGACCAGCCTTCCCAGCACATGTCCTGATGGCTGTGGCTCTGTTCATCGTGTCCTCATTTTCCAGCAAAGAGGGAAGCTCCAGCCCACGCTACTAACGCTTCTGCTTTCCAACATGGTTATCTGTGACGGGCTTTTTTTGGCTGGTTGGAAGGGTCTCAGCTGTGTTAGGCAGTTTCCTTCCCTCTTCAGGAGACTGTGTCACAGGACTTCATATAACCTTAGAAATTCAGATATCCTCTAGTATATCCTTCCTCCAGTGACTGCCATCTACCACTTCTCATGGTAGGAGAACTGAGATGTCGATGACGCTCTTACTCATGGTCAGGTTGTGTGCAGAGCTTAGAACCTGCAGACACAATACTTGGTCCATAGGGGGAAGTTAATGAAATAGGTTTTATGGCTTCCACATTTTTCCCAGCACCAATATCCTAGCGAATGGGCTTGGCTTTTGCGTCTGAACCCATGGACCTGGCTTCCTGAGCTTGGATCTGGCATGACTTGCTCTTCTTGTCTCTTGTGGTCCCACAAGTGAAGTATCTGTTGTTTTGCTTGAAGGCAAGAGCTGAAGCACGATTACTTTCTGCTGCCAGCCCAGGCCATGATATCTGTGAAGTGCTCCTCCTACCACCTCGCTTCCCGGTGCGTGCTGATGGGAGATGCCGCCCATGCCATTGTGCCCTTCTACGGACAGGGCATGAATGCAGTAAGTCCATGGCTGGCCCTGGGCCATGCCCCTTGTGTCCCTACTCTTTTCACCCAGAAATGCCTGGTTTTAGAGTATAGATCCATAGAGTTCACAGGCTGGATGGTCTCACAGTCTGATGTTATCTGCATTGGCAGGTGTTGAACTTCTCTTCTCTCTGGCCACCAACGAATGCCAGGAGCAGAGGACATGGCAGGAAGATGTGGCAGGGGAGGGTGAGGTTGGCCATGAGGAAAAGGTTCTTGAGGCAGAGGGTGGTGGAGCACTGGCACAGGCTCCCCAGGGAGGTGCTGATGGCACCAAGCCTGACAAGATTGCAGCAGCATTTGGCCAAGGCCCTGAGGGACATGGTGTGAATGTTGGGCTTGTCCTGTGCAGGGACAGGAGTTGGACTCCATCACCCTTGGGGGTCCCTTCCAACTCACATTTGATGACTCCATGATCCTGTGATTCCCCTCAGGCACCCAGGACCCAGCTGTCCTCCAGGGTGGAGAGGGGACAGGGCAGTGGTGCCACCTTCCCGTAGGGCAGAGGACTGGATGGGAGGGGGGTCCAGCAGGGCAGATTTCTCTGCAGGACCCCTGCTATAGTGGCCTGGAGTCAGATTCCTGCTCTGAAGCTGTGGTCAGCAGGACCTGGCATGTGCAAACAGCTACACTGGCTAAGCATCCATGAGAGCACTTCTCGTGAACGTGTGGCTCCTTCTGCCTATTTACCCTCTAATTTTCCTCCCAGGGCTTTGAGGATTGCCTGGTCTTTGATGAATTAATGGACCAGTTCCACAATGACCTTGGTGAGTGAGGTGGCCAGGGAGGAGCGAGAGCAGAGGAGGATCCCTCTGCAGCTGAAGGCAGCAGCTGGGTATCCTGCCTGTGAGCTGCCACTTTCTTCTCCCAGGTGCCTGCCTCCCCGAGTTCTCCAGGCTGAGGGTGCCAGATGACCACGCAATCTCGGATTTAGCCATGTACAACTACGTAGAGGTAGGTGAGGTGCACACAGACGTGTGGTCCCGTGGGCCATGCACACAGTGGCACTCTGTGGGGATGCACACAGCAGCAGAGGCTCTGGCAAGACCCTGGCTGGGCTCTCACCCCAGCAGACTTTAGCCTAAGAGCTGCTTGGGAATGCCAGTGGAGCTGAGGAGGCTCTGCTCCCCATGGTGACCTCCAGGACAGGCAATGGGAGAGCTGGCAAAACACAGGGGAGCTCTGCCAAAAGGCACTGCCAAGGGGTGATGGTTGCTCTGTCACAGATGCGTGAGCATGTGAATTCAACATGGTTCATTTTCCGGAAGCACGTCGATAACTTCCTCCACACCCTCATGCCTTCCACCATCGTTCCACTCTACACCATGGTAAGGCCAGTACCTCGGTCCCCACTGCCTAACCACCATGAGGTCCTCCTGGCTGGTTTTGAGGTGGTGACGTGCTCCTGCAACCCTCCCAGGTGACCTTCACCAGAATTCGTTATCATGAGGCACTTCGGCGCTGGAAATGGCAGAAAAAGGTTGGTTGTTGGTGGTGCCCATCCTCCCCATGCCATGAGCCTCATCAGCACTGTTCAGCTGCATGGGGGGAGCTTTTGAGGTGGGATATTGTCAGGTGGGTGCAGGTGTGAAGACTTTTCTTGGTGCCGCAGGGAAGGAGCAAACCTCTGATCATAGAATCCCAGACTGGTTTGGGTTGGAAGGGACCTGAAAGCTCATCCAGTCCCAACCCCCCTGCCAGCAGCAGGGACACCTTCCACTAGACCAGGTTGCTCAAAGCCTCATCCAACCTGGCCAAGAACACTTCCAGGGAGGAGCAGCCACAGCTTCTCTGGCCAACCTGGGACACTGTCTCACCACCCTCACACCAAACAATTTCTTCCTCACATCTCATCTCCATCTCCCCTCTGCCACTTTCAAGCCATCACCCCTTGTTCTGTCCCTCCCTGCCCTTGGCCAAAGTCCCTCCCCAGCCTTCCTGGAGCCCCTTCAGGTACTGGGAGGGGACCTTCAGCTACTGATGATGCCGGGGTTTCTCTTGCAGATAATTAATCGAGGGCTCTTTGTCACGGGGGCAGCAGGACTGGGTGTCACCTGCCTGCTCATAAAGCGGCTGGCACAGGACTTGAACTTCTGCACGGAAAACTTGTGGGGCTGGTCCCATTATCTGAAGAACATTGGAAATTTTCCCTTTGGCACACAAATGGCTTAAATGCAAGGGGAGCTCCTGGTTGTAATAAAAATGAAGACACCGGCTGCTGGCTCAGTTGGATGATGTTGTTTCTCTTGGGATGTGGCCTGGAAGCTCCTGCAGACCCTCTGGTGTGTCATGGGCTGGGTATGGGGTGAGGTGCAGGAATGGGGGGAGCGCGTGCCCCCCCAGCCAGCAGGACTGTCACTTGAACCAGTCAGGGTGTCCCAGCCTGTAAGGCTGAATTCTGCTCTTACCAGAATCAAGTCAACATCTTGACTTGAAAATCAGCCAGCTTCTTCCCCACCCCACGTCAAAGAAAATACAGTTCAGTTATTCTTGGTGGTAATGAAACAGTTTTAAGAAAGGATGTTCTGGGGCAGTGCTTAAAGCCCGGAGAAAAGACCATTCCACATCTGGCTGAGAAATACTTCTGACTTTTGCAAGCAGGTCCCCACAGAGGGACCACCAGGCCTTTGGGCTAAAGCAAGACCAGGGGCCTGAAGGACCCTCCTAGCTCACTGTTTTCCCTCTGGGCTTTTGCATGTGCCCTGGCATGTACGTCTGTTTAATGCAATAACTTCTTTTTGAAAAACTCTGGATCCCTCATTGATTTTCTCTAATTGTCCTCTGCAGCATATATGTGGTTGTCCTTCTACTGCACACACTCCACCAGCAGCAAGACCTGCAGCTGCTGACAGGGGAGATAGATAGTCCCTTCATGTTCAAGTCACAACAGCCTCTGCCTGGGTCCCCAGAAATGGGTATTGCACCCAAGAGCCAGAGCCCTAACGGGTGCCTCTGGTGTCTCCATGCAGTCAGGTGCCAGGACCTACACTTGTTTGGGGGTCCTTGAGCCAAAAACTCAAGGCTGGGATAGTTCTGAGGGGAGCTGTGGTGGTTTCACCCTTGAGCTCCAGCAGCAACTAAAACCATCAGTACCTGATCAACATTCTTCTCATACCAAATCCCACACTGAAACCAAACCACAGCTCTTCCAGCTACTGAGAAGACAATGAACTCCATCCTAGTGAAACCAGGGCAGGAGTATCACTCACACTTTCCTTCTTCTTACCTTGCCCTGGACCCTCACAGTCAGTGCTGAAGAACAGCAAAATGGCCCAAATTAACCCCTATCTGACACAGTACGGCCACTTTTCTTGGAGGTGGTTTACATACAGCTGCCAGCAGATGGGCAGGGGCAAGAACTGGTTTGAATCATCTTTGGCTTGCAGGGGAGCACCTTTCAGGATGTAGATGGCAAATTAATGTAGAAGACTCTTTCTCTGGCCAGCATCTTTCCCAGGCACTGTATCTCTGGGAAATGCTGGCAGCAATGACAGGAATTTGCTGTAGTTTCTCCGACGAACACTTCAGCTGCTGCCTTTGCACCTGATCCTTAGCAGGACAGATGTATTCACTTTATATATTAATTTTTATTAACATTAAACCTCTTCAGAGAGCAAATGAAGATGTGACATAATACAGCTGTATGCAAATTATTCCCCAATTTAAAGCAAAGATGCAACTGTACCGCTATTTTCCAGGAATGACCCTACAATGTAGGAGCAATTAGCTGCTGTGCATGGTTTGGAAAAGTGCTGAGCTGGAGATGCTTCAGGTGCTGCCAGGTCTTTTGCAGGCCTGGCCCTTGGCATGCCTGATGCACTGGTAGAGCAGAGCAGGGAAAAGGTCTCACCCTGGGGTGGTAGGAGAAGCCGTGGCCAAGCTCTGAGCTGCAGGCCATGTTTCACGTGCTCGGTGCCGATGTTTCATAGTTCAAACAGTTGCTCCTTTGCCTCCTTGTCACGCAGAGGACTCCAGGCCTGGCAGAGGTAAGCCAAGCTTGCAGGAGCCCAAGTAGAACCTTGCCCGAGGTAGGTCTGAGAAGGGAGTGACACAGGGAAGCAGCTGATGATTTGGAGAAAAGATTCAGTGCACGTTCCTTGGCTACTCTTCATCTCCAGGTACAGGTGCTCACTAGCCCTTAGGGCCATCACCTCACTGTAACCTCCAGAACAGGTCACCAGCCTGGAGGACCCTCCACATCCAACTCGGCAGTGAGAGCTTTTAGAAACTAGTGCAAACAAAGATAGTGGTGGAGACCAGTGCATCAGGGGAAGGCATGGAGCAGCCTGGGAGCAGATCCTGCTAGAGCAGAAGGGAAATGGCAGTTTCAAAATCCCAGCTCCAAATCAAAGCTGGAAGCACGCTGTGCACTCAGCTGGTTTTGGGGCTTGGTGTCCAAGACTCCTGCCAGAAGGCAAAGTTAGCATCAAGAGCTGAGACAGTTGGTCACCGGTACAGGAGCCGTTGCGTGTGCTGCTGATGAGACTCGCTCTGCAGTCCCATCCATGGCCAAGCTGTGTCTGTTCCCTTCTCCCAGTCCCACTAACCCAACCGATGAGTGCTGCACCAGGAGACAGGCGTGGTGCGGCCCCTCAGCCAGCACCTGACGTGCTGGTGGCCTCTTGGAAGAAGGGAACAAACCAACAGGATAAAGAAGAGGAGGTGGGAGCCTTAGGTTGAGATTTCCTTAGCTTGGCGTTTCCTTATTTGATGGTAGGTCCTTTGCTGCCAAGCGTTGCTCCACTTCATTGCCCATTGAACCTGGGGTTCACCACCGTGGTGGTGGCACTCTTGAAGAGGGGGTTATCAGCCTGGAAGGAGAGAGGTGAGAGGCCCATGTTGTTGTGTTGTCTTGGGTTTTCAGGGGAGCATTACCCACCCCATCCCTGCCAACATCGACGGTGCAGACAGCTTGGGCAGGAGAGCCCACAGGCTCCTGCAAATTCCAGCTGGGCTGTGAAACCAGCCAGCGGGGAGGGCTCAAGGTCTGCCATGGCTGCCTTGAGAGAGGATGTCCCCTCCAGGTGTCCCCACCACATGTACGTGAGCATCCCAGCACACCCCACTGCCACAGACGGGCTCTTACAT